ATAATCATTAGATATTAAAATATTATAATTTTTCTATAATATTTTATAGTCAATTTATACCTACGCTTTAAGGGATAGAGAAACTCAAATATCTGATAAATGTGTATTAACTTATTAACCTCTGACAGACATTGATCCTCGAATATATAAACAATTAAGTACTCCTACTACAGCTGATAAATGATATCAAATTATCAATTGTTTTATAAATGATAAAGCCCTAAGTCCTTTTAAAATATCCAATGAGTTATTAAAACATCTTAGACTATCAGTAAAAAAGATTTTTTGATATATCATTTATAGATGTTTGCAAATCTCATCAATCCTCATAAACTGGAATCTAATCTACATTTACCCTATTCTAAAGCTAAAAACTTTGAGAATATAATCTTAACAATACTAGATCTATCACATTGCTTGAAAGCCCTAGAAAGACATTCATCAAATTACTAAATAGCAGGTTAGTCACAATTTTTGTCCAAAATAATATATTAAAAGAATATAATTTTATAGTTCTTTTTTTTTTAAATTGACCTTTGATCTTATATATATAATAGACAATATTATTCATGACTTCCATTATAACAAATCTAACCTTTGAATTCTCTTGCAAGACATGTCCAAGACATATGATCAGGTTAATATTTTCATGTTGGTAAAAGTTCTGAAAAGACTTAATATTCCTTTTGTCTTTATTTATATTATTATGTAGAATTTCCTTCTTAGATATAATCAAGTATTCACTATACATAGTAATACTAATACTTATTTGATTCATTCAGGTATTGACTAAGATAAAGTCATATCACCTTTACTTTAGTGTATATATTATAATTCATTTCTTTACAAAATCAATGAATCAAAGTATGAATATGCAAACTTAATGAAGATCAGATATTCACGTCTGCTATACAATAACTATAAAATAAAGAATTTCTGCTCTTGCCTTTATGGATGATACTCTATAGATTGTGAATTCTAAAGCTGATTTAATTAGCATTATTACAATTACTAATAGTTTCTTTATACTTAATGATATTCAAATCAATTAGGCCAAATTAGAATTATTAGTTAATACACCTTAAGTAACGCCTTTTATTATCTAATATAATAAAGACCTTTGGGCTATTACTTCTCACAGTCCTAAGAAAAGTGTTTGATACTTAGGTGTCTGGATTTCATTTTTATCAAATTGAAAGTTCATTAACACTTAATCTCATGATAAAATTAAAAAGCCATTGTAATTATGAAAAATGTTAGACTTACAGATTCATAAATTGTGTATATTTTCAACACTATTATTTTGTCTCAAATTGATTATAAGTCTCAATTCATATTACCTTTTAAGTTGTAATACAAAAAGATTATTGCCACATATTTAGCCTTTGCAAAATGAAAATTAAAGCTTTTCAAATATACACTATCAGACATTTTTTACTCCAATTTATTTTATAATTTAATTCTCCTATTTTAACATATATTACAAAATTTTAGTAATGCTTTACTTTAAATATTTAATGAAGCTAATATTCTAAGTAAGACTTTCTATATTTACTTATTCCAACTACAAAATTAAGTATGACTTTTTAATAACCCTCTGTCTTATTGGCCTTTTAAAACTACTTTAGCATTAGATAATTAGTTTTCCTCACTTCTGAGTGCACTTAATAAAATTGACATCAAACTTATTATTCCTGATTCCCTTTAGAATATTATAACTGGCAGAAGTATAACTATCTTTGACTTTATTACTTTAGAGTATAGAAAGTACGCTACTTTTCTCAGAAGACTTTATGTTTACTTACAAAAACTTCTATAATATTTTACAGCCTAATATTCATTTATTTAAAACTTTCAAATGGTACCTATTAGTAGAAAGAATCTTATAACTAGATGCAAATTGGATTTTGTTATCACTACACTCATATAGTCATAAATTTTGTTATAGATATATTATCTACCAACCTTCACCTATATCTAAAATATCAAATATTATTACACTAATACAAACTCTTTTGTTTTTGGTAGAGTTATTTTTATAGACAACAATGTAGTTCACTTAGTATACTATATTCCTCTTATTGATCCTTATAATTTCACAGTTTTAAAACATACGAATAATATCAACTTCACTATATCTCAGCACTAACCCTGAGAGATTTTTATAATAAATGTTTTTGCAACATACAACACCATTTTTGCTTAGCTATTCTAGTCTCTTTTAAGAATAATATCTGTGATATCATACATAGCGTTCTCTTCTTGAAAGCTTTACATAAATTTACTGTAATACACTTTTTATCTCACATGAATTCTAACTTTTTACTATTCTTAAACCCTTCATTCCTCCTATGCCAAATAATTTGATTGATAAATTTATTTCACCTTCTTATAATTTAACTCTTGCTAATCTTGTTCTTTCCTTTACAAGCTTAAATAATTTAGAATTTATATTAACAGATTTTTTAAAAGTATTAGTTTACTCTTAATCAGAATGGAAATCGCATGATTATAAACTCATTACAGTCTATTAATAATGTCTTTTTCCTTTGCTTTTGCTTCAGATTTCCTTTCTTATTCCTTCCTAAATTAGCAACTATTTTTTCAGCTATTTTAACTGCCTCTTCCAATTGTAATATATCCATTTTTACTGATTCTGCAGTTGTCATTTTACAATTTATCCAAATTAGACTCCTTCTTATTATGGCTTCCTCAATTAGATCTACTCTTAAGATTAACAATTATATGTATTAGTCATATCTTTTTGAAATAATCAATACATCAACTTTATTGTTAAACTTATTAAAGTTAAAGCTTACTCAGATAATATCTTTAATAACAAAATCAACTTTTTGGCTAAATCATATCTTAATATACAAACCCTTCATATAATAACTCATAATGCTCTGAGATACTATTTCACATATCAGAATTCTATCATCATCACTTCTATTTATCAGTTTATCAAAGATGTCTCCCAAAAGTCCTTCATCCTCAACCTACTTAGATTGTGTGTATTATTTAAACAATCAAGAATCTATTGTACAAATTGGTCTGTGACAATATTTGCTCTTTGTAATAATACTGCTTTGCAAACTATAACCTATACTACCTCTTACCTTAGAAAAATAAAATACCAACAACTCTTAGAAATGATGCTAATTCTCAAGATCTTTAAAATTAAACATCTAACGCTTTATCTATCTATACTTTTATATCTTATATACAATACAGCTGATGAAGATTTTTACCATGTTTGAAAATGTCCTGTGATCAACTATCAAATGAGATCTATCATTAATCAAATAAAAGTCTACTTAAAGTTAATTACCAATACACTTAATTGCGAAATTGAATGGTTCAATTGTTGGATGCTTTGCTTATATGATTCCTCTTCATATTTTGCTTTTATCAAAGAAATAGTTTCTACTCTTTTATACAACTTCATACACAGTAAACTGCTATTCTACTTTTTAACTTCTGCTGCTTATTTTTCTTTTATGCACTTTATTTTTGAAATAACCCACATAATCTGAAAAGCTCGCTGCTCAATTGTTCATGAATTTGAAATCAATTTAAATATTAATCTTTAATCTAAATAAATAACTTTGTCTCTTTAGATTATACATTTGATTCTAACCTATCTTCCTCTTCTAAAACTAATAATCCAATTGTTTCAATAATTCGATTAGGATCCCATTAGTCAAATTTTTATTATAGTAGTGATCACACCCTTATCAAGTTTGTTTACCAAAAAGTAATGGTTTTAGTTTAGATTAAGTTTGATTTTGAGAAGTACAGGGTCAGTCTTCTTTTTATTAATCCTAGATTAGTCTTAATAAGATTTTCGTAATTTTTTCTTAATTTTGTAATTTGTCTATTTTTTATTTTTATTTTATTTTTATTATAATAAAAAATATTGCAAAACTATTGCACTTTAAAAAAAAAAATGAAAATATCAGAAAAATATCAGGTTAAATTAAGAATAAAATAGGACTTTAATCAGTAATTTCCTAATCATTAATAATTTTTATTTTTAAACTAAAATTAAACAATTATCAAAAATCAAATAATCAATTTATTTTTTTTAAAAGTAAATTCAATCATGTAAAAGTTCTTATTATAAATCTATGTATTGCATTATTAAAATATTAAAAAAAATCAAGATTTATTTCTTTAAAATAAATTTAATTATGCAAAAATTCTCATTGTATTATATTATCAAAAAATCAAAATTTATTTTTAAAATAATTAAAACTTGTTTTTTTTCAAAGTAAATCTAATTGTACAAAAAATACTAATCATAAATCTATGCATTACATTATCAAAAAATCAAAATTTATTTTAAATTTATTTCTTTCTAAAATAAATCTAATCGTAAAAAAATACTAATTGTAAATTTATACATTACATTATCAAAATATTAAAATTTATTTTTAAAAAATTAAAACTTATTTTTTCTTAAAATAAATTTGATTATGCAAAAGTTCTCATCATAAATCTATGTATTGCATTATCAAAAAATTAAAATTTATTTTTAAATTAATCAAAATTTGTTTCTTCTTAAAGCAAATTTGATTGTATAAAAGTTCTTATTGACTAGATAATACTCTTATAAGAGTGTTATCCAGTTTAGCTATAATGTTACCTAGTTATGAGTAAATTGTTACCTAGTTACTATTTTTACTGTTCTATGATTGTTTTATTACTTTGTAGATATTTGCTTGATTTTATTGCTCTATCTTCTTTTTATTTCCTTCTAGCTATCCGCTTGTTTTCAATGCTTTGTGACCTTTTTGTGGCTAAGATACTAAGCTGACATTTATTGCATAAATCATGTTATAATCAGGTAGCATAGTCAAATCACATGACTTTATTTTAGTTAATTTCAGCCCAAAATTATGGAATATAATGCTAGTCGAATTATTGTAATTTACTGTGCCAAAAAAATCATGTGCGTGATGTGCTTCCAGAACCTTTCTGTCACTTTTTCGCTACTTTTGAAGTTCTGACTGGAGGATCTAATGGTTGGAGAATCAGAAGTACTAAGATCAGCTTATGTAATTGCCAGGAATTAGTACTGAACTTGTTTACAATCCTATCCTCATTTGATTGCCAGGTTGAGACACGAAGTACCGAATTTGCAATCCATATATTTTCTTTTTCAATTGCTATCTCTTGATTGCTGAATGAGATACGAAATACTGAATTTGCAATCCATCCATTTGCTGAAGATGTGTTGCAATCTATTCACCCACTTTTTATTGCTGATCAGACACATATAAAGTGCCAAATTAGTTCAGGCTATATTGCTTTTTTTTTGTGTATTCTCCTGAACCTTTCTGCCTTTCTAACCTCTTTCCTGCCTATTCCCAGTACTACACCAAAGAAAAATTTTCTTATCTCTTTCCTATATATAATTCTACCTTGACGTAATGCCAAATCTATGCTATATTTTAGGTTTCTAGAAATCTTTCTCATATAATTGATACTTTGGGGTACTACTACATTGATTACTTTTAGGTATTATTATATTGATTACTTTGGGATACTACTATTAACTTAATACTTTACTGGCAAATTTTAGCGATCATATTTTTTTATTTTAAACTTTGCTAGTTTCTCTATTATTTTATATTAGTTTTTTGCATATACACTATGTTTCTTGCGCAAAAAAATGCTGGGCCTCGCCCTAAAATAATAAATGAAGCAACTAGGCTCTTTTCTGATTTAGCGGACCTTGACTATGAGCCTAGCTATGATGATCATGTATATTTCAAATATTTGTCTAATAATAAAAATGATATTTCTCTTTTAGGCGTTTATCATCCTGAAGAGATTTATTCAAAATATATTATTCAAGTATCTGAAAAAGGTTTTACAGTAATCAATCATCCATCTGAAGTTTATAGAATCCCTGATGCTTACGAATGCATTGATGGGAATCTGCCTCTTCGCCTGGTTCTGGATATTGATGCGAGATAAAAGCCAGATCCAATGAATCCTAAGCTTTCTTTTTAGATAAATATAAAATTACTCACGAAGATTTATTATTTAGAATCTTAATTGCCAGTATTGATATTTATTTAAACTATTTTGCAATATTAGATGCTTTTGCCTTAGTCAGTTCATCTAATACTAATAAATGCAGTTAGCATATTGTATATAAATATGCACAGTTCGTTGACTATAGAGACCTTAGAGGGTTTGTGAAAAAAGTTGCTGATAGAGTTGGAAAACTATACTCTGAATTTATTGACCTTGAGCTTTATAAATCATGTTTTAGTCTTCGGCTTCTTAGATCGGCAAAGGAAGATAGAGTTAAAAGACCTGCAGTTTCTTCAGTTAAACAAGAATATCACAAGCTAGCAGATTATTTAGTTCAACCTAAATCTAATTATTCTGAAATCTGGCCAGGGATCTTTTCTCCTGAAAAGC